CAGGAAAAGGATGATACTTGAGTAGACAAGAGTGCATGAAAGATAAGATATGGAGACGGTGACTGGTGAAATTCTTCAACATATAAAAAGTAGTTAAAATGAGGATATCTTGACCATTGAAACTGCTACTAATGCATATAATCTTGATGCATTCTGTGGTACTGGAAATGGCGTAATTTTGAAGATGCAGAATGGGCGCTGTGTATTGATCGTAAGGTTTCTTCATCCGTCAATCTACTGGGATCAATGCAGTTTTGCAAATATGTGTATCTGTCTTAGTATTGGAACACGTCACTGCCTACCATTAAAATAGTAACTTATGGACACTAGTCATTAAGCACCTTTTATTCGATAGCTAGGAAACCTATATCACACACACACAAATTTTCGCCAAATGTGTCAATGTGTTCTTCCATCATTCAGCGTTCTCATTTAGCAAGACTATGTCATAGGTCACACTTATCAGTTTATCTGTAGCTAAGTGAAAGTGTATCGGTTAGAGTGAACGTTCCTGTTACAAAGCGATAGCTGTTACCACCTGACACTTTTTTAAGGAACCCTCGTAGAGCACCTGAGCAAATATAATATGACTGCCTATTATTCCAAACACAACTCGATGGTTTAACACACCCCTCGCTTGAGAAATATTTGGATTCGATTAGTTCACATGTGTTCAGGAATCTGTTGAAGTGTGAAAACCGAAATATCTAGCTCTTATTTATGTCTCAAATCTGAATGATTTTCTCGAACTTGTTGGTGTCCAGTGATAGTAACGCACTGAATAACCACGAGCCCTATGATTTTCGAAAATATGTTGACCAGGCCTGTTACTTATTACGTTTCTTACAAACAAGAATGACTGGACATCTAGACCAGTTTGATAGGACTGGACGACCTGGTAACCCATTTATTCTTATTCATCCCTATTCTTCCTTATCATGGAAGACTTCTGGAGGCAAATGTTCAGTTTATACTGCTTTTCATTGTTGTAGGTTTGAAACAGCCCATTCAGCTGTAAAGAAATTTGAAAGGCAGAGGTGTACATCACACTTGCTAAGACTGATTATTGAGTACGAGGTGAAATTTTACTTCAGTTGTCCCATCTCTATTAACTGAAATATAATACGGTTACCATTTTTACACTTTTCAATTCTGCAAAGCATGGAAATGATTGGCATTAAAAAGGTACGTCGGTGGTTCACAGCTGGCTTGGTTGAACGAATCTCATCTACTCTGAGTATTCTTCGACGGTAACCTGTTATTTCAGTCTCTTCCCATCAAATGAAGCGCTTGGTTCATTGAAGAATTAATTCGAGACCTATGGGTTTATTTAGGCTAACCGCAATAAATTTTCATGACCTAATAATCGAGAAAGGAATATCTGAGGAATGAGATGGTTTTCCTCAATACTTTTAAACAGTCTAACCACTCATTTACTTGTCAAATCATTTTACATATGAAGACGTAAAATAGTAATCACGCAAGTGAAGTAGTGACCTTAAAATGTGTCATAGCGAAGGGAGGTAGAAAACTAGGAACCCCAAATTAGCATCACAACTGGTCGGATTATCTTATTATCCCAGAAATTCACTTTACTCAGGATTTAAGTGGTATTCATACTGTGCAGGTCATTTTAAGTGCTCTGTATTGACTCCTCACTGATTTCTGCATAGTTTACGGTTGTGAAATAACTGTCTATCGAGTGAAATCAACAACTGTACTATATTTTGATTCCTATGGATAATAAATTCACTTATCTCGTTTGTCGTAATCACGGTACATTGGGCTGATACAGTTTTCACGTATATACACTCACTTCAAGTCACAGATAATAAGGTTGTTGAGCTCATCTTGTGTTCCATTGGATAGAGTTTGAGAAGAAGTTAACACACGCCGACTTGTTACTGACCTCTTTTCGAATAGCATGTAGTTACATTGGTGCAGCGGTTTGTGAAGGGGACGAATGTGCATAGTGCCCTACAAATCGTGCGACTAAAGCCTATTTATACTGAGTGCACAGAAATGCTTTTTTGTACATGACACCATTCATATGTTCAACCATAGATAACAGCGAGAAGAAGAAGCAGCTTTTACTCAAGTGATTGCAGCATCAACCGAAATAACCATTAGGGTTACTCCGATTTGGCCACAGAGGTGTCTAGCTCGATCATTAGATCAAGAAGTCTGATTAGTTATTTCAGTAGGCGGTAAACTAGCTCGAAGAACCACTTCAAAAATCTCAATGGAAGCATTATGCTTTTCCGTACTGTACGTATAAAGGACTTTTGTGTGTATGTGGTGCGACCCACAATTCACTCTATGAAATCATCGTCTTCATTCAAACTCCTCACTCACATGTTTATTCCACCCCTCGATTAATTTATGATCACTGAATTTCTACTCATGTCTTGAAACCAATTATGTCAAAATGGTCAAAATGCCACTTCTTCAAACCTAAAATCTCGATTCGAAACACTTCCATCTATCTGACATACTTCCAAGTGAAGATTTATGGTTTTAATCAGACTTACTTTCATTTGTGTAGACTTTGAGATACTTCATCTTCTCTACATGCATTTCAAGTGTGGATGGATGTTTTATATAATGTATGGATAGTTCTAGCATAGATCGTTTTGATAATTCAATATATGGAACTTCTTTGATGGAAGGCTGAAAGGTAGAAAATATTATAAAAATTAGTAGTGGTGACTAGTGACTAGCTTTTTAACTAATTTGACACTTGTCAGCTAGACATATTTGCCCATCAGTGAGTGACGTTGTCTCCACTGAAAGTAGAACTCAGAACCCACTGATTCAAACGATACAGGCTAGAGAGTCACAATAGCCTCTTTTAATACAACAGGCATGGCTATAACATAGCTAAGAGTTCTGCTTGGAACTGTCAGTGAAGTGTCTTGAATACTTATGGGAAATATGATAAGTAGAAAGGCTTATTAAGCATCTGGCTAAAAAGTAGAAACACTGATTCGGTAAATAAATAGCCATTGCTTGGAGTCAAGAAATGCTGCATAGTGGGGTCATAGCTGAAAATCTCTGACAAACAGACGAGCATTTTATGAAGCACAGGCAATCTCATGTTTCTTAGCGTTGTAATGCATTTGAAAGCTTGTTTATTCACCTTCCAGTTTCAATTTCTAGATTGCCTCACATCTTCGTTGTCAAGATCTACCATTTCTCAGTAATTATTAAATATTATTATAAATTATATAAGTACATCCTGTGTACTCACTTCCTCGTTGGCTCTCGTCCTTTATCCTACTCTTTTCACTTCCACGCTTCTCTACGCACCCACCCCTGGGGAACAAGGAGCCTGCTTACCTATCTACAAGCTAAACGAAAATCTGGTCGTCACAGCCTTACCAAATCGCAACCCCTTATTGAAGTAAGAATCAATCATTTGCCTGGTGTCTGACGAATTGATGATGAATTGACCGTTTCAGAAAAGGTCTTGGCTGCTAAGGACAAATTACAACAGAGGCTCTTCGTATTTTTTTTCCATTCCACTATGCTATTATGGCTTTGTGAAATACTGCCAAGGAAGAATGTAGTCACTAAGACATGGACAGGTCACTCAACCAATTTTTGTCAGCTTCATACCATTACCAAAGAACAAATAAACTAATGTCGGATAGACAGACAAATCGTTTTCGACATACAAAGTCACCGGCTCAAGTTGCCACATTTCACTACATATGCGATGAACTAGTGAAAGGAAAACTTGATACTAAAATGGAAAGTTTGGAGAATAAATATAGGAAGGCTAATGAAAATAAACGAGAATTTGTACACGTTAAGTGACACATTCATCTTGGTGACCAGCAGTGAAATCCAGCTTGACGCGCGTTTCTTCCTACTTCTTACTCGTCTTCTGGATGCACCTGCCTCCCAGTGATTAATGATGTTGTTTTCGCTGAAAATCGTACTCACTACTCATCACTTCAAACGCCAAAGTGCCATCCACCAGGTTATCTGAGCTTGAAAGCCACGATTGCCAACAGAGATCAAGCAGTTCAGTTCTGTTTAGTAACCGTAAATTATAAGTATGAAAACAACGGCTCCTTACTCATTTGATCAGCGTCTCACATCACCTTATGTTAGATAAAGTGGATATGTCTTTTTTCGGTGAAAAGGAAGGACTAGTTTTGCAGCACGTTTCCAATCTCCTCATATCAGTCAACGTATAAGGCTATGAATACGAATGGGACTAGTGTGATTCGGAGACACTGGAACCTACAACACTCACGTGAAGCTATAGTAGGCCGAACGTCACACTTTGGTCAGCTCACAACTTGTCAACAGAAAAGGATGCTCAAGTGAGCTGCTAAAACCAGTGTCGTTCAGATTTATTCTGCCTGGCTTTCAGACTGGACGCATTTTACCAGTTCACTTTTAGGGAAGTTGCTTCTCTACAGTTGCTTAGCATATCAATGTAAGAGATGAAAGTAAAATATTCAGCTCATATAAAGTGGATCATCAGGAACTATCCAGAAGTATCAGTTTTGTTTACTGACTCACCTGTTGATTTGAGTACATTCAATGCAATTCAGCTCAGCGCTACAAACTTACTGCCCAGCTAGTGCCCATATAAGCTTAAATAGCTACCGAATAAGGTGGTTAATCGTTTACATTCCACGGCGTCAGACGTTGACAATCAGCTGCTGTATGAACTGAGAACTAATTCTCATGATTTCTGGATGTTATCTCAAGCATATTCATGCTGTAAATAACCTCATCTATAGCCGTATACTTCACACAGACTACTTGCTTAACAATACAGTGCTCAATTTCGAAGAGTCGATGTTTCTAAAGATCAAGCAGTCCAACATTCCACGGAGTCACCGCTCAAATCTCTGAATAGCTTCCCTTATTTACTGATATCGATCTTCCAATTTATATGTTATTGTTAGCCAACGAGGATTTTAAATTTCCTAGGAATAATTGAAAAGAAAACGATAATTTACTCTCTAAAAATACCATTTTTAACATACATAGATGCCTTCGCTATCAACCATATTTTCTATATTCCTTCTCCAATTCTTCTTCTGTAAAGCCGATTTCTTTTCATTTGTTGCTTTGTCGAGATAAATGACGTCATGATTTTCAAGTGGTGTGTGTAATTCCTCCCAAACATGCAATAATTCCCCTGGAAAATGAACTAACTTCTCATGATCAATTTTATGAAACGCTACACCAATACTTTTCATCTCTTCAGGTATTTCGCTTAAACGAAGTAATCTTTGACTAAATTGATGACGAGCATCATGATGATGATCAGATGTAACCAAGTTTGGTGTTTCCTTGGGACAATTCAAATCTTGTACATGATTGTATTCACCGGCATATTGATCGGATGAAATTGTATGCATTACTGTCATTACTAACTCAGTGTATCTTATTTCATTCAAAGTGATAGAAAATACAAATGACTGATCAAAATATGGATTTGCTGATGTACAATCAGGCAGTGTAAGATACCTTCTACTAAATGTATCACTTTCTTCCTGAATTTCTTCAATGTTTCCAGGAAATTTTCCATACTTTTGTATTCGTAATGCAATGACGAAAACTGATTTTATTCGACTTGGAATGGCAGTTAAACTCTTTCCAAAGTTACTGACACCAGTTAAATGACTAATTACAACTTTCAGCGTTCTCAAAGTCCATGCATATTCAAGTGAGAAGTGTATATGCCCGATTGCATTTGAACTCTTTGTAAATTTTGTCCAACTGTCAGTTGAAGTGATCTGATTTTTCATTTGAACTACAGGAAATATACTTTTAATAGGTTGTAATGTTTCTTTCATACTTAGAAAATGTTTTACTTCCGACAACAAGGACTTTGTAGTAACTGAATGTTTACATTGTGAAGATGATTTGTCTGTCAGTGTAATACTTAAGTGAGTATTTATACGATGGCCCAAATGAAGTCCAGTTGATTCAGACAAATTGTTGACTTTTCTTATTCGATCCAAATGTGATTCACTTCTACTGTTACAACCATTGTTGACAACAAGCTCTGTGTTATCATCACTGGTTAGTGTTCGTTCATATTCTCGCTTCTTGAAACTGTCCAGTTGTATACCGCGAAGTTTAAAATAATTGAATTTATGGCTCTCTAGGCTACGGTCACTCCCGGTTATCTGACTACTTCGAATTGATACATTCTCTTTAACGCCATGAAAATGACTTTGACTGTGAATTTTATGGTGTGAAAGTGCAAACTTTCTGTTCTTCATTGATTCCATATCCCTATGTCTTTGATCCATCACGATACAGTTGAAGAGGACTTTGAAATGGAGACACTTTCCAATGCAAGAGTAGATTCGAAGCTGTCTTCTAATAATCAGTAGAAACAAGTCAAACAGACAACAGCATTTAGCCAGTGTCTAACAAATGATTCCATGTAAAAGAAACTGTCATCGCCTATTCCGAGGTAATGATTCCATTGGGCCAGCGATTTTCGGAGTTTTAAATGCACTATGAATGGTTTACATAGAAGCATCAGAATAACATTTAATGTCACATACTGTTCGGATATCTTGAAAGGTGTATACATAAGAACAATTGAACTACACGGTAATAACCAGAGTTTGGTTTGTATATCAAGTCAACAGTAGACTGAAATTCTTTCCCTTCTTTTGGAATGAGACACCTTAGTGTTCTTAGAGCATAAATTATGCACTTCCTACTGATATCATAATGCTACACGACAAGCTAGTCATCATTGATTTCGAAAGGTTAACTACACTCTGTTAGACTTATAAGATTTTAAAACAACTGGCATAAGGAAGGGAGTTGATGATAAAAGCTTGACAACTTTTCACACTGGTGAGAGTATCTTCTAAAATGCTAAATGTGGGACGTCAGGCATAGCCTTTGTTTAGTTGATCATTCATTATTTTATTCATGCAGTAGAAGTGGTAGTAGTAGCAGTAGTAGCAGCAGAATCTCTTGCTTTAACACAGAGTGTCACTTGTTCGAATCCACAGTGTCAGATGAGTTTCATCAAGATTGAAAATGTTCCATTGTTAGTCTGTTTTTTTCAGTGATCCCGGAACCAAGATTTAGAACTTTATATGGATTGATTACTCACTCTTAATAATGCATATAAACGTCTGAAGTGGACACTAGTCACTGGTCGAATGAAGACAGATGACTTGCTTCTTTAGCATAGTTGTCATATACACCTAAAGTCAGAAAAGTCAAGCATATTGCACAAAGCAATGGATGGCTGTGGGCACATGTAATCCTGCTCCGAATTTATGGTTTCAGTAAATAGATGATACGCCTACGGTGTTAAATTCGAAGCATGTATATAGCTTCTCTACACATAAATTCAGTAGTCAACACAATCCAATTCATCTAATAATTAGATAATAACGAAGGGGGATTTATGAATGTTGGATTGTAGAATGAGGTGAAAACAAGATGAAAGATGAAAGATACCAGTGACTACAGAAGGCATCCACACTCAAGTCGTTACTCAGACTTTCAATCGTCTCAATCTATGACCTTTAAGGTTGGCTTGTTTAAATATCCAAGTCTTAGGGTGAAAAGTTACTAGGAAAACAGAAGATCGAAGACACGAAAACTGACAAATTGAGGACACCCTACTCATCAACAACTACCCTTCTCAATTAATTAGTAGAATCTCTAGGAATCGTAAGGAAATGTGACTATTATTAGCAACACAGCTGTTCATAGTGGCAATAGTAGTGTTATTAACAGTAGTGGCACTAATATGACGATAGAATTCAAATTCTCTACAGTATTACCATACGAAGAAAGCACCTCACAGATATTACATAGGATGCTCAATAAGGCTGAGAATGAAGTGGCACTTAAAATTACAAATTTGTTGAGAAATAAGCTTTGTAGCTCGAAAGTTTGTGCTGATTCAGTTAGACGGAATAATTTATTTTAGAAAATCCCTTGCAAAGATTGCGAGATCAAATACATTGGTCAAAGTAGTCAATGAGGGTCAGTTAGGCTATCTGGGTACAAAAACCCAGTTAGGTCAGGAATGTTACATCCAAGTAAGGTATGGAATTCGGACAAGGACTAAGCCATGGAACACATACAGCAGGAGTGGCTCAGCAATTGTTCCGGATATATGGAAAATTCCTATTATGCATAGCACAATGGAGACAGAAAATTACAACTATACACACCATGTTTCAAAGTTGTGTAATTATCTTAATAATGCTACGAACAATAAATTATATCCGAAACGTAATTCAGTAAACATTACTGTTCCACTGGGTGATATGTCTAGTAAATTAACTAAAGTGGGACTGAGTCATCATTTGCTTAAACTTGATGAATATAACTCAAGATGAATAAGTCATGATGGTTTTAGTGATACGCTAATTCCACTGAGTTCTTGATGTTCCTCTGCACTGAAGGCATTACTAATTATCTCATCAGTCCGATTGAATGACATATCGCAACTGTGACGTTTGATATCTGTCCAGTCCAGAAGCTTTCTGAGTCCGTCTACCTAAATGGAGTTGAAGGTTGAGTTTCTTCAACACTCTTCAGTACAAAGGTCAAAATGATCTAACTTCACCTTTCTTTACATCTCTGTTTAAGTATTCTTTCAGCATGAAATAACCCATAAACTTGGCTTCAAATCACCTTTCATGATATTTTTTACTCACATATTTAAGTATTATTTGATTAGCAAATTATCTTCTCTGAATATAAACATCAATACTAATCAACTCAAAAATGTCTTTTTACATCATGAAATAATATCAGTTAGAGAACCAATGGGAATCATGAGAGTACTCATTGTAAAGCTATTTCAACCTTGTTTGTGTTGCCACTATAATGCACACTCATAACCCCATATGATATCGTTAGAATACCTCCATTCTTTGGTTGTTCGATTAGTTTGATCGCACCATTCTTCTTCTTCTTCACTAGTTGCTCTTCAAGTATCTTTTCATTCAAACGTGACAAAATACATGTAATGGGATTAGTGTGTGCATCATTTCTGAAATTTCTAGCCGGAGCACAGTGTTGAGCTACTCTATTTCCACATTGAACATCTCAGACGGATACCCACTGCCTATGTGGTGTCAAGGAATAGTGTATTGTAGTCAGGAGAGAAATAAAATTTTATGTTGTTAGTTTAAACTGGTGAAGAGAGTTCCAGAGTGTGATCAATAGGAATATTCTGCCACTTTGTCCTCAGCAAAGCCTTTGAATTATGCTGCGAAATCATCCCCACATTATTACTTACTACTTCTATGCTTTAAGGGTCATGGTATAAAATATAATTTCTTTGAGTAGATCTACTCTGTCTTACCCTAGTATATCAGAAAGCGTTCCTTAGTGAAAGTTTAGATTAACAACATTCAATTTTTAATATCTGTACCAACTTCCACATGATCTTCAAATTTGACGCATTAACGTGTTTCTTGCTAGTTAACTGACCATAGTAACAGATAAATGCTCACCTATACAAATGAGCATCAATCCCAGAAGCTGAAGTTCAAAACATACCTAACACGTATGTGTGTGTGTGTCTGTGTGTTCTAAGTTACTTTCATACTCAGAATTAACTCCATATGTTGGATTCAATTTCTGGAAAAGAAATTCACCACCGAAGCTCCTTGATAAATCATGAACAAAGATATCATCTCAACAAACTATGTGAAGTTCTGTCGGATGTGAACTACTTTAAGACCATTCTAGTAACTAAATGCAGATAGTACAGACCATAGTCTTACTGAATACGCACTGAGATCTCACTCAGCTGGATGAAAATCTTTAGTGATCCGCATAAATTTCAGAAGCTTGAGTCATTTTAAGTTACAGTGTTAACTCACATTAAATATCTCCTATCTGTCGGAAAGTAATTATTCCCTTTCCTCCATGACATACATGAAAGAGATACATTTTGTATATCTCCACATCTCCACTGATTCTCATAAGAGAAATGTAAAAGATATTTCGAAAGTGCAAGATAAGCAGTGAGTAAACATAATACTTCATTCTCATGTTTTCATCAAAACTTTGTATAGTTTTCACATTCACTTACTTACCTTGTTCAAAAAGATCCCTTTTGTGTAATTATCGCCATAAGCTAATGTGTACAACTGTTCCAGTGTCAATTGATGATTGTTTTGTGGACACGACAAGAAAAACCAATCGTTGACACACCTTCAGTATTTCTCAGCTAACTGAATGTGACAGCTTCAATCATTAATGAATTTATTCACCTTCGCTAAATGATGATAGGAGTAAAACGTTTAGAAGCATTAAGTATAAGAAACATTCAGATGAGCCAATCAGAGTTTGGGTGGGATACACACACATCTCAAAATTATCAGGGATGTGTTAAATAGCAAAACAAACAGAAGTAAAGAAATCTGGGGGCACTGGGCAGCTGTTTCTTCGTAGTGTGGGACTCTTCAACAGTGCACACCTACGACCTCCCCTACCAGGGATCGAACCATGGACCTTCAAGTTCCCTGGAGGACACAACTCCATCTAACCACTAGGTCAATTCCACTGGTCCATATGTTCGAATTCTGTCAACTGGCCACGGAACCTGAAAATCCTTTGTTTGATCCTTTATCGGCTCATGTGTGCGCACTGCTGAGGACTTTCATACTAGAATGAAACAGCTTCCCAGTGCTCTCACGTTCCCAATATTCCTCCAACTGATGTCAGTCCATGATTAATAACAACTTAAGGTGAATGAAACTCCACAAAAACCGAAATTAAAATAAAGAAGGTGTTCGACTTTGAGCACAGTGTGTTGAGAATTCGTTATTTTTCCTTGCTTTACACCAAACCAAACGGTGCCTCTCCAACAGTATACAACTCCTTTAGAACAAGATTTTCGAACCTTTAAATCAGTTCCATTCATTGAACTTTCACAGAGAGATAGAGCACATGGAGTAAGGTTGGAAAAGAGCTGAAGTTCCAAACTCCAAATGTTGTCAACTATATGTGATGTGTCCCGTGATACATTGACCACTATTCTGTAGTAACTAGATTCTACCGATAAAACGTTAATCAGAATAAACATGATATGGCAGGCAGATAGCTATGATATGAGAATTGTGAGAACAAATGAGAATAATTAATGATAATGATTCCGAGGGTTGGGATGGTTCAAGCCGAATGTTTCACAGAGTAAAATCAGAAAACTAGTATTCAACTGAGGCCATGGTAACTGGAACTGAAGACTTGCATTAGTGTACACTGACACTATATGCACGGAATTACAATGACCATGAACCATAAGGAA